CTAGACTTTTTGTCCTGACAACATAAATGCTGTCAACATAAAACAGAATCCGAACTTCATCAGTTCTATGCCTTTGCAGTAGTATGCAATTAGTGAACTTCGATCCCGATCGAGTGTACTTAATTACATAGCAATCTAAATCGGGATCGAAATTTGGTTTTTATGTACTGTTTCCATCTTAAAGTACCAGTAAACTTTCAACAGTCATTTAAATATTTAGATACTTCTTTATATAAAAATGCACTTGTCCAATCGGACAAGTGCCCAGCAATATTCACTTGTCCGTATTTTTTTTTCACTGGTACCGGACAAGCGAAAATGTCGAGCCCTGGAACCTTACTGATTTTGAGGTCACAAGGCCAAAGGTCAAGGTCATAAATTCATGAATCATGTCTGTTTTAACACTTTCATTTCCGCACGAAATCTCAAGATGCCTTTGAGCTTTTGCAACTAAATTTTACATAACAACTCCCTGTGGCCTGAGGAAGACCCCATTGATTTTGAGGTCAAAATTCAAGGTCAAAAATTCAAACATTCTGTCTGTGTGTAACACTTTCATCTCCAGGCAATATCTGAAGAAGCTTTTGAGGTTTTGCAATGAAATTTTTTAACTCCCTATGACCTTTCTCACCCCTCTCAAAGTGTCCTGCCCTGTTTTTATTTTATTGCATTAAAAGTCGCTTGGCACTATTTTTAGCACAGGGGCATGTGAAGATTTATAGCATATAATACAGGTTGTCGGCAGACTTTATATTCTAATAACATCTATTAGAACTGTTTAGTAAAGGCAAAATTAGACACCAGGGGAAGTTCGACCCCCCCCCCCCCAAAAAGCTGGGGACACAAATTCTCTGAATTAGCTTGTATTTTTAAAAATATTATTGTATAATACAGTAAAACTTGTTTAGTATGAACACAGATCAGGTATTGTGAATTTACGGATATAGCAAAGTTTTCTTGGATCCCCATCTAACAAATTATGGATATAAAAAAGTATTTCATAGGTCCCAGTGGCTTTGTTATAACCAAATTTTACTGTATTTCTATTTTTTAAGTGACTTGTTTCTTGATAGTTTTATCCATAGATTTAAAATGATATAATAGTAACAAATAATTCTTTTCATGTTCATGAACATTTTAAAAACAAGATGTGTTTGTGAAACACTTTCTCAAATGCAAATCAAATAGTTGGTACCCAAAGTAAGGTTTTGTGTTGAGGAATATACCTGTGAAATATGACAGCCCTAGCAGCAACCATTGAATAGATATGGAAAAGGTTTAAGTCCAAAGGACATGAACGCCCAGCCGAGTGTATATTAGTAATGCAACATGAAAATTTGTATTAGTGTATGAATTTTGATGAGAATATCTTGAATAGTTTCTTTAGAATTGAAACTGAAATCTAAAAAAATGGATATAGATGATAAATTCTCGCCAAATTATGTATAAGTGCATAAGCTTACATAAAAATATCTTAAATGGTTTCTTTAAAACTAAGCAAAATGCAAATTAAAGAAAAGTGAGGTCAAGGTCACAGAAAAGTGCAAGGTCAAATAGTTGAATAGTTCTCAATAATTATGTATCACCATATGAAGTTTGATAAAAATATCATGAATGGTTTCTTTAAAACTGAGCTAAACACAAATTTAAGAAAAGTGGGGTCAAGGTTAAAGAAAAGGTCAAGGTCAAAAATTTTGAAGCAGTTAATAGCTCTCTTCTTTTTTTTTATTGTCATTTAGGTTTTTGTTTTGTTTGTTGTTTAATGTCCCTCTCAAGAATTTTTCACTCAGATGGAGACGCCACCACTTGCAGGTGGAGAGCTGCAAATTTTGACCTATACTGGGCACTAAGGGCCATTGAGCAGTGAGGGATCTTTCTCGTGCCAGCACCTACTGCGACAAAGGACCTCGGTTTATACGGTCTCATCCGAAGGACCAGTCTCCACATCCCACAGTGGGATTCAAACTCGCGATGTAAGGATCAACTCTTTCATACACTGCGACTCTAGAGCAGACACTCTAACCACTGCGCCATGCGGGCGACGTCATTTAGGAAGTATTATATATTAAAATATACTAGGTTTAAATCATTGTTTCAATGTGGAAATTATATTTCAAATGTAAACTGTTAGTGTGATGAGTCTCATTAGTTCTTCACACTGTTATCAATTGGGTAATTGTTTATCTGCTTAAAACTTGTGTTAGATAAGAGATATATATTGTGTATATACTTATAAATTAATAGAGCTTATAAATAAGAGTTCCCATTAATGATTACACAGAGATGGGGGTGGGGCGTTGGGTCTAGAGCAGCATTATTTTACCATTTTCTTTTGATAGTCAGGAACTTTGCGTACAAATTACTTTATCATAATAGTCTTTTGTCAACATTTGGTTAACTCTTCTTGTGTTTTGCCATCTAATACACAATATATTGGATGGAAATGTTTGTTACTTATTATGTTTATATAGATATTGATTGCTTTAGTTGTAAAGCTATTTCTTGTAGTATTTTAAATTAATTTTAGTTTGTGTGGTAACTGTATATAATAGAGTGTCCTGGCTGAGCTAATAAACATGTTGATATTAGGGATGTCAAATCGGTCAATTTTTGATAATCGGTTACTCGGACGTTTTTCCGATCGAGTACCCGGGTACTTGATAAAAATGTAAATACAAGAATGTTAATTTTCTTGAGCCCCGTTAAATTCCGTTAAACCACAAAGCTGTTTTTATCACCTTTATAAATGTATATAAACATCGATTTCAACGTAAATGATTTTTGGTACTAAATTTATTTATCAAATAAACACAAAAGACACAATACATGAAAAATTACAAATGGTTTACAGTTCTTGTTTAGGATCTATTTCATCAAAAGGAGGACAATCTGTTACGCAGGTTTGTTATTACTAGACTAGCCAAAGAGAAGTAACGGACGTTGTTGGGATTGCTAGTCTAAATTTATAGTAAGTTTAGTGTATTTCATATGTTGATTGTTTCCCCCGGCCGTAGACACTAAACTTACTACACAAACAGACTTTCAACATTTATTTTGAATCTTTAGTTATTTCTAAATATTTCTTCACTTCTTTTGAAGTGGGTAGCGGCATTTCTATGCATGTGCAATTTCGCTGCCGTATATTAACTAAATAATTTAAAACTGATTTAAAGATAATAGACCATCGATGTTCACTGAAAACAATCATTGAAGCCATCCAAAAATTAAGGACCACAATAGGTGAGAATAGCTGGGTCAGATTGGTCACTAATTACTGTATATACACAGCCACAGGCAATAATGGGTGTTTTACAGGTATAGAAAACTACACGCTGTAATTACCGTATGCATATTTAAGCTAGTTTTTGATAAATTTTTGATAAAAATGAGTACTTTGAAAAATGAAAAAATACACATCCGAGTAACCGAGTACCATTTTTAGTATTCGATACTCGGATGTTCGATCGAGTACACGGTTAACTGGGTACTCGTTGACATCCCTAGTTGATATACATTCTAGCTATCAAATTTCTGCCTCTCAAAATTCGAAAGACAAGTTTTAAATTAACCATTTGAAGTAGTTTTGCAAAGGTCAAGGTCAAGTGAACTGACACACTGGTATCAGTACACAATCATACTAAATAGCACAGATGTACCTCTAAAATGTTAAAAATAACCTGTATATTAGAGCTCTATGAACTATTCTGCAAAGTAGGTCAAAGGTCAAGTTCAAGAGATTGGTAGCCCTGGTATTTTAGAAAAGACATAGTGCCAAGCAAAATATATGCAAAATATTAAATCCATGTAAATCTTACAGACAGACAGACACTGCATGGATAACGTGATCTCGAAGTGTTCATCACACTGCTCTACAGGCAACACAAAAAGTGATATAATTTCAAAGTAAGCAATTCCAATATACAAGTGGAGTAGCTGTATAGGGAAGTTTAGGAAGCCCAGAATAGGTTTAAACGAGTGACCAAAATTGAAGTGTGACAGATTGTTCAACAACTTTTACATTCTGACCTGCATGAATGAACCGCCACGCCATTGTGAGGAAATCTGAATCATCTCACGTTTGAGTTTACCTTACTTGGACATAAAAGCAAATGTCTAGATGGTGCAGACTAGATAAAAAATGCAGTAAACAACTTGAAATTTTTACCCAGAAAAAAAAAAAAACTGAAATGGATCTCTCTAAAAATAAAAATTACTGAAATATTGGAAAACACTTGTAAATATCAGATTCTTGGATTCAAATTAGTGGAATTCTGCTAAATATTGGAACAGAATCTTCACTGTGAATCCCCTTCATCCAAGGATGCTTTGTGGCAAGTTTGGTTGAAATTGTCTCAATAGTCCTGGAGTTGAAGATGAAAATGTAAAAAGTTTAAGATGATCACTTCAACAACTAACAACAGATAAATTATGATCAAAAAAGCTCACTTGAGCCTTTGGCTCGGCTGAGCTTAAAAGTACCAATTATTAACAAAGTGCATTTTACTTACTTTCTACCTGCAATTTCAATTAAAGCAAGGCCAGAGTTTTTAAATTTTGTCTGGCTAGTGTGAAAACATAATTTGGGCAGCCAACTACATTTTATAGGGAATTGTGGGTACAATGGAACTGGGGTTAAAAATTCAGTTGGATCTAATATGTCACATTACTTCTAAAATATTAGTTTCATTTCAATAACGGGACCTAAAAAGAGCAATTTTTTTTAGCAAAGAGGTACGATTACTGACTACTGCAAGTTAGCACAGTATGATAATTTGTTGGCACAGCCAGGTCCTGTTATACATCCAATGGCATCTATCAACCAATTTAAATCTGAACAAAAAAATCTGATTACTGCAATCTTAACCTGTTAATCCTAATCATTACCTTTTCTTGATAATATTTTTAAGAACTCAATCAATTAAACATTAATATAAGCCTAACTTAGGGTTACACACTTTTTGCCAGTGGCTGCCCAGTTTACATTTAATAAAAATATTTACATGAATCAATGAATCTAAAGGAGCCGTAGAATCCTCGTGCAGATCTGTGACCATCAGAGTGAAAGTCAATCAGGATGATGTTGGAGGTGGAAATAATACGTGTGGGTAGAATGTCCATCCTGTCTCCACAAAACCTCCCCAACAAAGGGGAGGAGATCTGGGCCTCTGATTCAGTGGTTATCATCTGAGCATAAACATCCAGGTAATCAAACTGACACCTGAAACATAAAGCAAAGTTAATAGTTTGAACAAATTTAAATCTACACTACCTGAGGATGCCTGCATATATAAATATAACTAACAATAGTCTGCTGTTCTTGAGAAAAAGATACTTAAAGATTTTTTTTTCTTCTATATTTATATATTCTCATGTAAAACTTCGATCTACTGTGGTCAAAAACCATATTTAATTTAGTGCAGGAGGCAAAGATGAGAACAAACTTGAATTTACAACTGGACAAGTACCCAGAAATATTCACTTGTCAGTCAAAATTTTTCACTGGTGCCAGACAAGCAGAAAAACATTAATGTCAAGCCCTAGAATTAGTAATTTGACTTCATGTTCTTAATAACACTGTTATTATCACAAATGGTTCGTATACACAAGCAGGGCTTATTATTATTTTCCAAAATGTACTCTTTTTCTTGTGCTCTTTTAGACCTTAAAAAATATTTAATGGTGTAAAGGAGATAAAAATGGATAAAAGAAATAATAATTTAATTTTTCATGCTCCTGTAATAAAAGATTTGGGGGGGGGGGGGGGATATAGTTTTTGCCCCATCCGTCCATCTGTCTGTTTGTTCTCAAAAACTTTAACCTTGCCCTTAACTTTTGATTGGTTAGGGCTTTCATATTTCACATGTGTATTCCTTGTGGCAACCTTCCCTTGGGTACCAATATTTTGACCTTTTGACCTTGCAGTTTGACCTACTTTTGAAATACTTTTACCTTGGCCATAACTTTTGAATGGTTGGCATACGTCACATGTGTATTTCTTGTGACAAGTCCCTCCTTGGGTGTAAATGTTTTTGTCCTCCTGACCTTGGAGTTCGACCTACTTTTGAAAAACTTTAACTTTGGCAATAAGTTTTGAGTGGTTAGAACTAGAGCTTTCATATTTCACAAGTGTTTTCCTAATGACAAATGCTTTCCTCGGGTACCAACAATTTTGATCTTTTGACCTTGGAGTTTGACCAACTTTTGAAAAACATTTTGCCATAACTATTGATTGGTTGGTGCCATGCACAGGATGAAATTACACCATTCAGTCAATGGAATGGTAACTGAATGGCCACTGAAAGGTCACTGATAAGTTCCTTTCCCGTGACTTTTCCATGGTCTTTCAGTTACCATTCAGTCGACTGAATGGCAGAAACATTTCAGCGGCTTTTCAGTTATCTTTCAGTTGTATCTTTTTATTGAATAATCGGCTTATTTTTTAACTTAGAAATTTTATTTCGTGTTTTCTTATTGGTATTAAATGAACCTATTTTCGAATAAAATTTTTTTTTAAAAATTGAATATAAGAAAAAAATTCTTGCAGGAAGCCAGAATCGAACTGCTGCCTCCCGCTTCGTAGTCCGTGACCTTATCCATTACACCACGGCGTCTTGTTGAAAAATTGGTGATTTAAATCAATAAATTTGTAGAAATCGAATTGAGATACCCAGTTCACCTGTTGTATCGATCAGCTGGGCAATGTGTATAATTATATATTGTATACATTCTGTATATTCTATGTTAATTGCGTGGATTTTTGGGGCTAATTAATTATACATCTCTTATCGGGATTATGACAATTATCGGCGACAGGCACCTGTTTTTTTTCTCTCCAAAGAAATGATTCAAGATGGATCTTCACCTCGGAAAACGTTGTAAATTCTTAAAACGATAACTTTAATCGTGCTAAATTATCGTGCGATTTTAACAATCAAGAAAAAAATCTACAATATTAAGGTTCTTCCACAAGAGACATAAATAATTAATTCTGTTTATGTAAAATAAAACGATATCCTTTAGAAGCTTAAATATTATGCGATTTTAACAAATAAGAAACAAAATTTACAAAAAAAAAAAAAGGCATAAATAATTAATTCTGTCTCGTCTTTCATAACCATATATTTCCATGAAAACTAACCGCATTATACAATGTGTGAGATGGATATAAAATTAATGAAAAATTATTTTAGAGCGAAAAAATAAGAAAACTTTTTTTCTTGTTTATTTTAAGATCATTTTGATCGATATTCTGAATTTATTTTTCAGATTGACTGTCTGTTTATTCATTTAACTACTTATCAAATTGAAGAAGCTTGTGAAAATATTCATAACAGATTTAGATATTTTACAGAAAGAAAACATAGGCAATCAAAGATTACGAAGCTCACCATGACGAATGTTTACAGTATAAGAAATGCAAATCTCGCATCATATTTTCTTTATATTTAGTGTGCATCCTGAAAACAATATTCATGCAAGTTCTGTGTAAGTAGGTCTTCTAGTTCATTGGGAATTGGCCTGTTCCAAAAACTTTAACCTGTTTACTCATCTGGAAAATGTAGGTCAATCCAGCATCTGAAGCAATTCTAGTAGTGTCCATCCCTAGATGCATCATCCATGCAAGTTTGGTCTAGGTAGGGTTTATAGTTACTTGGGAATGGACCTGCTCCTAAAACTTTAACCTGTTCACTCATCTGGAAAATGAAGGTCAGATCCAGCATCCGAAGCAAGTCTGGTAGTGTCAATCCCTAGATGCATCATCCTTGCAAATTTGGTCCAGGTAGGGCTTATAGTTACTTGGGAATGGACCTGCTCCTAAAACTTTAACCTGGTCACTCATCTGGAAAGTGTAGGTCAGATCCAGCATCCGAAGCAAGTCTGTTAGTGTCCATCCCTAGATGCATCATCCATGCAAGTTTGGTCCAGGTGGGGATTATAGTTACTTGGGAATGGACCTGCTCCTAAAATTTTAATCTGGTCACTCATCTGGAAAATGTAGGCCAGATCCAGCATCCGAAGCAAGTCTGGTAGTGTCCATCCCTAGATGCATCATCCATGCAAGTTTGGTCCAGGTAGGGTTTATAGTTTGTTGGAAATGGACCTGCTCCAAAAACTTTAACCTGGTCACTCATCTGGAAAATGAAGGTCAGATCCAGCATCTGTAGCAAGTCTAGTAGTGTACATCCCTAGATGCATCATCCATGCAAGTTTGGTCCAGGTAGGGTTTATAGTTTGTTGGAAATGGACCTGCTCCAAAACTTTAACCTGGTTACTCATCTGGAAAATGTAGGTCAGATCCAGCATCCGAAGCAAGTCTGGTAGTGCCCATCCCTAGATGCATCATCCATACAAGTTTGGTCCAGTTAGGGCTTATAGTTACTTGGGAATGGACTTGCTCCTAAAACTTTAACCAGGACGCCGACGCCAATGCCGGGGGTATAGCATAAGCTCATCTCGACTTCGTCGAGGTGAGCTAAAAATTAGACAAATCTATTCCCGTTGATAAAATTCTGATATGAATATTATTTTTCATCATTTGAATAATTTTCTTTTTCTAAATCATGAAACAAATTAGAAATTCGAAAATCATTCTGAATTTTAGGAGTCCACAGTTGAATTGTAATCTTTAATGTTTATAAAATTATATTAAGACATAAATGTTATAGTAAATAATCACAATTTAACATTTTAGTGAACAATTTTAAGACAATTGAACATCTAACTATTACCAGTTCTACTTATCTGAATTTTATCTTCAATATAAGAAAACAAAAACACAGTCATTTAAGGACATTGGCAAGTCAGGGTTTTCCGGAGAAAAAAGGTTTAATACATGGGTTTTTCACTTATGAAAAAATGATTGAGAGTGATCTCCCGTGTAGAATTCTCTAAGCGGTGAAAACTAATAAAGCGTATGATACAGAGGTAAACAGAAAGCATGTGTACTTCCTTCAACGGGTAGAATCATCTATACAGCAAGAAAGAAAAGTAGTAATGGCTTTGTTGTGCATTGTATTCAGGGGACAAAGAGCCAACAGGACGTCATTTACCATGAGTTATGCTCAGTATGCTGGGAAGGGCTAAGCTGTGACATATGCTGAAAGGTAGACCGACAGAGATCAGTTCTTTGGTCGTGTGAAGGAAGCAGCATTTAGTAACTACGAATGAAAATTAAAATAAATCCATGCCAATATTTTTTTGACAATATGTTTCAATCAATTCAGTCAATTACATGATGGAAACAATCAGCTAGTCTGACTCTCTTGACCAGTATGAATAATATGTAATTATAGCTGTTAAGGGAAGTAACTCAAAAATAAAGATCGGTGCTGGTATGTCCTTGTCTTGTTTCTATATATACATTTTCAGCCAAAATATCTAGAAGTCATAGGAAATGAAGATACAATAATATATATAATACAAAAACTATATGAAATAAGTGGGTTTTGGAGAAATATTATGGTGAAAAATTATGTAGGTCCCTTTAATCAACATTTTACATAGGAAATGCATTGAGAATTGCAAAAACACTGATTTGAGAAAATCTAAAAAAGAAGGTTGGCTTGGTATGTTAAACAATCCAGAATTAAGCCTGTTTTTTACAATTAAACCTACTCAAGAGTTCTTGAAAAATTCTATACAATAACCAGGAACCTTGCCAATGTCCTTAAAAATGTGAATAATTTTATTTAAAAATTTTTAAGGAATAATTACTGATAAACTAATGAAAAGCCGATGAAAAGGTTGTTGAATTACGACTGAAAGGTCACTGAAAGATGACAGAAAGGTCACTGAAAGACGGCGGAAAAGTCACTGAAAGACGACAGAAAGGTCACTGAAAGATAACTGAAATGTGTCCGCTGAATGGTGACTGAAAGGTACCTGAATTGTGGCTGAAAGGTCACTGAAATGTACCTGCCATTCAGTGACTGAATGGCCACTGAAAAGTCACTGAAAGCTGCCTTTCAGTTTTAACTGAAAGGTCTTGTTTCTTCCTGTGATGGCTTTCAAATATCACAGGTGTTTTTCTTGTGACAAGACCTTTCCTTAAGTACCAATTTTTTTTTTAAATTATGGAGCAGGTGCTGAAATATAACAAGGGCAAAAGTGGAACATTCCCTCACAAGAGAGCCCATCAATCATGATATAAATAATTACTTGCATAACTTCTACTATGCATGCACTCACTCACTCACAACACACACAAGTGTTTTTATC